TATACACTCTCACCCTCTCCCCGTCGCCACGCCCACACACACACACACACACACACACACACACACACACACACACACCTGGAGAGGAGATATCAGAAGGGGTTTAGATAACCAAGCTCCTACACAGCTTACAGAAATGTGCCACATTACATCTCTACATGTGCTGCACTGTATAATCATATGAGTGTTTTATTCTAAGAAGCTGCATAGCATTTACATAACCCAAAGTAGGCTGAAACAGGCAGTTTGTTGCATTTGCATGTCTAATAACTAACTTCAATTCTTAACCAAATGGAAGTAAGTACCTTTGAAATATAATTGTGCATTAATCATGTGGAGTCAAATGCTGGCACACATGAGGATGTTGTTCAGCGTCCTGCATGCGCTCTAATGAGCTGATAACATTCATGACCTGTCTGTGCTCAGTCACCTTGGCAACTCCAGACAGACCTCAGCATGCCTCGCAGAGGGACAGCGGAGAGCTAACAAATACAAATCAGCTGCTCATCCCAAACAAGTCAAGCCAGACAGACGAATCCACCTCTAGAGCAGATCAGGTCTGAGGAAACATGCACAGAAATACTGCAATGACAACATAAACCTTATACAGGAGAGAAAATCTTATTTCAAATTTGGCAAGGACAAGAAACAAGAGATTTTCTTCACAGTATTGATTGTAACTACATTTCCGAACCAAGTAGGACACAATCTCTTCCAGTAAAACTGAGTTTCTGTCTTAACCAGCCGCAGCCCTGGAAAACAGATATTTTGTTGTTAGCTTGGTAGAGTCTGGTATAAATACAGATTTCACTTTTGAAATCTTGATTTGATTCTGATTCATCTGGGTATACTGTATTCCTGTTTTAATGTCCATTTTGCTTTCCTGTATAAATGTCTTTGCTTATGTTGTGAATTATACAGGACAGTGTTGCAGACTGATTCAAATCATCAAATGTTATCTATCGAACTATTTATCATGGAAATCGGCTCATAGATCATTTGTTTTGGGAATCAGATAAAAGTAGTCATGCTGTTTGTTTTGGATTCATTTGTTCATCATTTGTTTGTGACATATGTTTTACCATAATTTCATAGTAAGCCTTCTTTTTATTGTATCCCATTCAAAACATAGACTATAAGGCAGTCTTCAGTGTCACATGATCCTTCAGAATTCACTCTAATATGCTGATTTGTAGTTCATGGTAATTAAAGGTGGGGTAAGTGATTTTTCAAAAATGCTTTAGAAAACTGATTCGGGCCGACTAGCAAAACAAACTTCAGCAAAGTTTCAGCAAACTAGCAAAAAAACAAGCCAATCAGCAGTAAGGGGCGTGTCTAGTCATGATGTGAAAGAGAGAGCGTTAGCGTTAGCTCACATTAGCGAGCCGAGCGACAGAAAGATAGAGATGGCGGATAAAAAAACAAAAGAGGAAAACGTCTGCGGAACAAAACAATGCTTACGATAAGGCAAGAAGTAGGACCCGTGTAAATATCGGATCAGATTTCCAGTGCTGGAGAGAACTCAAGGAGCGGAAGGCCTGCGATCAGACACAGAGGTTGCTTTGTTTCTTCTCGATAGGCGAGTAACACCGTGTCTGCGGCGCAACAGCTAAAGTCTGTCTAGTACACTGGACGCGACAAAGCGACCGTTGAAAATCATTTGAAATTTGTGTCAATGCGTCATGAATAGAACGCAGCAGCAGTTTTCTGTCGGGGATTTGTCGTGTCGTGCCGCATCCAGTGTAGACCATAGATATGTATATACGCTCACATTAGCGAGCCGAGCGACAGAAAGATAGAGATGGCGGATAAAAAAACAAAAGAGGAAAACGTCTGCGGAACAAAACAATGCTTACGATAAGGCAAGAAGTAGGACCCGTGTAAATATCGGATCAGATTTCCAGTGCTGGAGAGAACTCAAGGAGCGGAAGGCCTGCGATCAGACACAGAGGTTGCTTTGTTTCTTCTCGATAGGCGAGTAACACCGTGTCTGCGGCGCAACAGCTAAAGTCTGTCTAGTACACTGGACGCGACAAAGCGACCGTTGAAAATCATTTGAAATTTGTGTCAATGCGTCATGAATAGAACGCAGCAGCAGTTTTCTGTCGGGGATTTGTCGTGTCGTGCCGCATCCAGTGTAGACCATAGATATGTATATACTGTATATCTATGGTGCAGACAGCATCACTGATTATAATGAGTTCTATAGTATTTTGTCACGTCGCGCCACTCGCTTCTGGTGTACACACAGTGTAACATTGGTTTGCTTTGTTTCACAGAACTAATCGTTGCCTGGGTTGTGTACGTATGTGTGGGGTGGAGCTATCAAGATAGGGGCGAGACCCTTTTGGGGTGATTTGAAATATCAACATTGGTTACCAGAAATCGCTTACCCCACCTTTAAATTTAAATATTACTTGCTGTTTATTTATAATTATTTGTGGAATTTACTAGCAATTTCTGGTTGAAAATTGTTTCCACAGCATTTTTTTATGTGTGTGCATCACAATGCATTACTGCTGGAAAACACATGAAGGCTATTGTCTTCATCCAAGCAAAACATTCATTTTTATGTTAGATTGTAACTGTGATCCACTTATTCAATCTGACGTGATGTCAAACAAACACAAGGTAAAGTGCTTTCAGATTGTGAACTTTCTCACTTCGCAGTGACTCGGTGGCTGTCGACAGCGATTCCCCATCAGACTAAACCAACAGCGCAGGTTAAGAGAGGCCAACACCAAAGCTCCACTGACAGCTTAAACAAACACATATCATTTCCTCTGTAATTTCCTAGTTTTGTATTCACACATAAACACACACACATGCACACGCATTTAACACTGCATCTGCAACAATGAGCTGTCCTCTGCGCACAGCTGCAGCTAGCAGAAGGAAGGCTGCGTTCAGCAACATCAGGTGTTGTGACACTGAAAATGAGAGCCGGCTCTGCGAGGGGCCCCTCGGGGGACATAGCCAGATCTAATGAGGCCAGATCCTGAAGATGGCACATATGGCTCCAAAATGAGACCCTCAGCTGATTGTGACATGATTGTTCTTTGGGGGGCCTCAGACTGACAATAAATCAGCCAATGAAATCTTTCACAATGCCACTCGTTGGCGATTAAAAGCAGTTAATCACTGCTCAAAAGACTTCCATGTGTAAAACATCTATCATCTTTACAATTGTGCAGCTTGCACTATTAATATAATGAGTTCTGCATTAATATTAAATTATTATAAATGTTATATTTTTAAAATAAAATATTAAATTATATAAAATATAAACTACCTCCAAATGTTTAGGGTTGTATTGTATTTATTTTAATTGAAAGAAGTAAATTATGCTCACAAAGGCTTCATTTATTTGATCAGACATTCAGTAAAAAACAGTAATATTGTGAAATATTGTTACAATTTAAAATAACTGGTTTCTATTTAAATATTAAATATTAAATATTATTTAAATTGTAACATGTCTGCTCTACACGCCGCTCAAGCTTTCTACAGGAAGTCAGTCGTGCACACGCTGACCCCTCGGGTGCCTTTCTCTGATTTTAAAATAGTAGGTCACGCTTTAGGCAGCTGGAGGAACTGGCTGACCTTCTGCTGATTCAACACCCACCCATCCCTGTCCGAACTAAAGCCTTCATCTGGATAAGCTCATATCCTCCTGAGTTGTGACTGCCCTGCAATGATTTTAATGCTCTTATTTAGTTTCCAGGTGTCCAGGTTTGGTTTTAATACTTTTAAGCCCAGTGAATGGATGGAGATTATTTTCCGCTGACCTTGAGCTCAACTTTCAAAGTATAAAAAGCCTTTGAATAAAGTTTGCTCCAATTTAAAAGAACTGAACAATTTACAACTGACAGCATATCGCAGCATCTCACTCGTTTCGAACTCAAATCACTCGAATACCCACAAATAATAATAATAATAATTATTATTATTATTATTATTATTATACTATTAATATTATAATATTAAAAAAGACATTATTATGCTATTTTAATTGAATTTATTCTAAATCATTTAAAAGCTAAAATATATATCATTTAAATCACAACACTTTAACAGTACAGTTATGAGAAATGGATATTGATTTTAAGTTTTGGTAAGTGTTTTATTCATTTGAGTTACCTCAAATGAGCGTTACATTACAGATAGGCTAAATATAAATAAATACATAAATAATCCAATAAAGGAGAATTGAGTACTATTAAATACACCAATATATCAATAAATCAGCCAATATATCCAATAATGACTAATATGATACATTTACAAAAATCTCTAATATGTCTATATAAGTTAAAAAAATGTGGGATTTGAGATATGATTTTAGTTTTAAAACCTGATTTGTGTGATTTACTAGCATTAAATAACCAAAAATAATAAATGGGAAAAAAGAACACAGAACAAAACTTTACAATAAAAAAACACACACACAAAATTATAAAATAGAAAAACAATAAAAAAAGCACAAAACAAAAACATAAAACCAAACAAAAAGCAAAGCAAACTACTACTGCTACTACAAAACACAAACCAAAATAAAATAGCAAAACAACAAAAAAAGAACAAAACAAAAACAAAAAAACAACAAACACACACAGAAATAATAAAATTGCAAAACAAGCAAAAAAAGCACAAAACAAAACCAAACAAAAAGCAAAGCAAAACAACAAAAGCACAAATCAACACAAACCAGACAAAAAGCAAGGCAAAGCAAAAAATAAATAAATAAATCATAAAACAAAAACAAACACAAACACACGGCACAAATAATAAACAAACAAAATGCATGTTGCAGAATAAGTCCACATTTTAATCTAAACACATGGTAGAATCCATGGCCTATTAAAGAAGAGCAGGACTAGAAGAGTGAGCTCCTGTACCTGTGGCTGAGCTGCGACCCCCGTAAGCTGGACATGGTATCTTCCAGGTTCTGCCGGAGGTCGAGGACATTCTGAACGGTACGTTTCCTCTGGGACTCAGGATCTGTAGGAAAGAGCAGGCAGGAGAGGATGAGCGGCCAGTTAATGCAGGCATTTAGCAGCGATGTGACCATATAGAAACAAGCACACCCATGTGCATTAAGATTTAACGCTTTGTGCAGAAGAGCCAAGAAAAACATTAACGTATAGATGCATGTTATCGAGTCATGGTCCACGTCTCCACTCACACACGTACAGTATCTCAGTTTTCAGGAACAACACACAAACGCCTTTCTCTCATGCTGTAAGAGTTCAGAGCAACGAAGCAGTGGAATATGACGATTCAGCAAGTGGGCGGCATTTCAGGCAGTACTAGAATGAATTAAACATTACATTTCCAGCTTGCCAAGATGCCAAAAGCTCTTTGAGCTACTGTACCAGCAAGCTCACTTAAACAGGACTTTCGTATTTATAAAAGGTCTCCTTTCAGTTTAATTGCTTTCTTTATTTAGGCAAATGTGCTTATACAGATTTATTTGACATTCTAGCTGTAAAACTGTGGGGAAATGCATTATACGTCTTAACTCTGACATGTTGAGGACTGTTTTAAAACTGCTGACAGTAAAAGTGCTGCATTACTTCTAATCAGCCTCCCACCCTAAAAAAAACAGTGCCGCTATAAGTGTCAGATCATAAAACCACATAGCGCAGTTTATAAAGAGGTTCCCCTCCGTTTATCAGTTCATCAGTTAGGCTTCACACACACAGACTCATATGGAATGAAATACCAGTGTAATAATTATCAGATACTGCCTACAATTTATGTTAAAATTATGTGAAACAGAATGAAATATACTGTTAATTTTACACATTAGCACGCTACATTGTTGTCAAATGACTTCACTATGTTTAACTTTGCAAGCCCACTCATAACTTTGGAAATAAAAATGCCTTAGCTTTTGACTGATCAAATAATGAAAAAAGAGACTCATTAGTTGATATTTCTTCATTTATACAGTTAATTTGTCACACTGCTAATTTAATGCAGAGCGCTTTGCACTGTGGGATAAAGTCTTCAGTACAATCTGCTCTGGGTGTATACAGCACATTTGAGCAAATGTATTAGGTTTACTGGGTATTCTATACATATTGATAATTCCCATACTATATATACACTGTAGAAATAGCATGAATACACACACAGACACACACACAACAAATCTCCTTTGTACCTCCCTCCCTACTAGCAGCACCGTGCTGTTCCTTCACACCGAGGCACTAAGTTGTTTTCCAAAACCTTCACCCTCTCTGCTTCTCTCTGGTGAAATGAGCTGCCAACACATATGTATGCAAGTCTGGTCGACATTGAGGTTTATTCTGGTACCACATATTCATTATTACATTACCCTCATCTGATGATACTACAGGTATGCAAGTTACTCAAATAATAACAGCAATTTTAACAAAGTTTGTAAAAACAACTAAAAAGATTTTGTTGAAAAGTTCACAAAATTTGCAAACTTTGTTAAATCCAACATGTCACTGTTACCTGGATACACCTGCATCCACCCTAGAAATTGTGTATAAGTCAACTAACCAGAGCGGAATTAGTGATGACTTGAAATTTTGGCAAGCAAGCAAACAAACATAAAAAATAAATAATCCGTTTTTGCTAAATGGTTTTGGCATTTATTACTAACCAAAACAGTTAGTGCTTCTCCGATAACATGTTTTGACTGTTTGAAGTCTCTGCAAACAAAACAAAAAAATAATCAGTTTTAGTCAAAATGGTTTTGGAGGGAATTAATTACTAAGCAAAACAGTTAGCGGTTCTCATCAGAATCAGAATCAGAATGAGCTTTATTGCCAGGTGTGTTTACACATACGAGGAATTTGTTTTCGTGACAGAAGCTTCCACAGTGTAACAGAATGACAGTGACAGAACAAAAAACACAGAAAA